CCATGAGGTCTAATTTATAAAATAAAATTTTGCCATGGTTATGCAGCTATAGGAAAAATCGTACTACAGGTAGGATTTGGCGCTGTCTATGGTTTCAGACATTTGTCGAGGGTGTTGGAATCCCTTGCAGATGTGCAGATACCATAGGGTAACAGAAGAGCAAGACCAAAAGTGTATGGAGGAGCCAAAGGATGCTGGGACAGAGTTATGGAAGGCCACAGGGAAGTGATGTTTGAGGTGAGGCTTAAAGAACTGGGCTGTATCTAATCCTCGGCAGGGTTCTGGCAGCTTCCACACATGCATTTTCTTTCTTGGCCTAGCGTTACAAGTCAAAATTACACTGTGTGCAATCTTTCCTCCATTTTGAGTTTCTCAGACTTCTTCCCTATTTGGGCTTCAGGAAACAATTGGATGTGTGGGCTGCCAAGACTTTTTCTTGGACAACCTGCTTCAGACTGGTCTATATTTCACCCAAAACCAGAACTCAAAGTAGGAGACCATGAGCAGTCATATAATTAGTGCTGCTGAAAACATACTGCACATGTACAAGTGCAGACTGGGGACTTATGAGGTGTTCACACCCAGCCGAGTGGGTGAATTACCATGTTCCTCTGCTGCTCTGATCGAGTTAAAGTGGAACAGAGAACGGCAATCGGTCTGTCTCTCCGTACTCTCCAAAAAGAAGGTAACGCAGGAAATTTATACCTCTGTATTTGGCCACTTATTCAATCTGGAAGGAGATAATGAGGTTGTGTTTACATCTGTAAATGTCTCCTAGCCTGGACATGGTGTTTCCTAGGAGGAAGCAGAAGATTGTCATACATGTTCTTTATCTAGGCACAAGATAGACCTGTGTGATGCGGCATGTACATGGTTGGAGCTGAGGGGGCCCCTGCTTTACCTCCACTGGCTTCCTCTGGTATGGAGTTGAGAGACACACAGTTTTCTTGTGTTCCTACTACTGGATCTCTCAAAATAGGTTGTAAGGTCATAAAGGCTACAAGGCAGTCCAGCTGTGTGTGCAATCCCTTTGTAACCCTCAGAACCCTGATACACAGAATGCTTCCTGGCTTTTCTGTTGCAAAGTCTATTTCATCACCAGAAGACATGTTTCAAAGCCCAGACAATCAATTCACTTGCTAAAGAAAATAAACTCCAATTGCAGAAATGTCAAGAAAGCAAATGTCTACTCACTTAAAATTGGGAAAAGTTTACTATTGTCTTATGAAATCAGGTGAATTTTTGTCCCTCTGAGCAAAGAGGTTCAATAGATCTGGTTAACATCGGGGATGAATTTTGCCCCACAAGGGATATTTGGTCATGTATAGAAACACTTTTATTGCCACCACAGAAGGATTCTAGAGGGTGAGCAGTGGTCAAGGACATTGGTAAACATCCTACAATGCTCAAGACAGTTGCCATGACAACTGAAAAGGAACTGGTCTAAAATATTGATGATGTAGAGGCTGAGAAACTCTGCTTTATGGGTTCAAAGAAAAAGAGCTTTCAGTTCTGGAGCTGGAGTACTGGTTGCCCTTCTTGTTCAGAAATTCCTTGGGACAATCATGAGTGTCTTGCAGCTTTGTATTTGGAATAGTTGCTTATATACAATGATGGATCTTTGGAAGTGGACCCAAATCTAAGCATGAAATGCATGACTGTTTGATCAATACCTTGTACAGACAGGCTGAAAGTCATTTCAGACAGTGTCGTTAGTGGTGACCGTGACCTGTCATATGAGGTTGGGTGTGGGTTTTTCCATATGAAAGTGCTGTTGTCTGATGATCAGTAAGCTTCAGATGCGGGGGTACTTTAGGTTATACATTTTGGGAGTAAGGATGTTCAACCAGATCATTATATGTTGTTTACTATAACCATCTCGAGGCTAGACTACCGAGACAAACCACAGGATCAGGTTATGAAACGTAGATGATGGGCATAGGTCTAGGATACACAACAGGAATTGCAGGGGGGCATGGTAGAATGGGAAGGGCACTCTGGTTCCAAACGTTGAAGTAATACTGTCAGTAACACTACAACAACTGTACACATCTCTGCGGTGCAGGGCTCCCACGTCAACCACCAGTTTATAACCACTCTTCTAATCCAATTTTCACTGTAATTATGAGGAAAGAAAGACTGACTACCTGAGACAGGGAGTTAATGACAGAATGGGGCGAGAGATGCAGAGGCGGGCCCAGCGTTACGTCACTTCCTTCTACAGCTACCTCTTAAAATTATGAAACCTCAGTCACTTATATTTTCTCTTTAAAGCCAAGGCTGCTAAAATCTATATAAAGAATCCAGAGAACCAAGTAAGGCAGGCAGGGACCACTGAGGCAGGATCGAAAGAAGTGAAGTTTCAGGGCGCATTTTACTTTTCCTTTTTAGGAATAAATGCCTGCTCTCGGTGGGTACAGACAGGGTAGAAGACAGGAACTTCCCTGACACCCCTGTTGGTGTCACAGATGAAAAGCGGCTACGATATGCAATTCTGAAACCTGCAGCAGCGGTGACTTCCTCTACGGCCATATCAGGGTTCTCACCTGTATCTCAAAAGAGCGGGGTATTGATCTGACTGTGAAGCCGCAGCCGCTGTGGAACAATGCTCCCCTGACCGCCCCGAAGGGTTGTGTAGTATTATTTATTGAAGTAAGCTGAATAGCAGAGGGGAAGCTCTGCCCCAGTAATAAGTGGTAATTGCCGGGAAGTGAGGCATTGCCGTTCTCATTGACCCCTGCATCCTGGTATTTTGATGGATTCTATGTAACTCCATTAGGATTGGCATTGTAATATTACACCAGCTGAGCTGTAGAACAACAGACCTCCGTTTGGATCATTGATTTTTGATTATACGGCTCCTCAGCATACCCCACAAGCAATTCCCATTGCCGGAGCTGGGATATGGGAGATGATGGGGGCAACAGATGGAGACTCCCTATGCTCAGTTAACTCCACGGGCTATGGGAGAACCGCTCCCCCTAGCAGCCGGAACCAGGGAGCAGTCACAACACCGCAACTATGGTTTATAGATTATTATTCACCCCACCCTGGCCCCATAAGGCTCATGTATTAAGAGCTAGGTCCCCAAATGGCAGAGACTGCCTATTTGTTACGTCGGCCTACGCCTGCACCACCCAGGCTCTCCCCTTCTTCCGGTTTTACGTGAATGCTCTCATACTTGTTCCCACTATGACAATGGGGCAAGGCAGCTCCTGGGACGCCCTGGCTCAGCTTTTTGCCGTGACGATTCTTCCTGCAGCCTCCACAACCGTGGCCTGATGAGCCTCTTTCTTTACTAAGTTAGTGCGCCGCAGGCACTCACGACAGCAACGAAGAGAGAGTCTAACGTCCTTGCTGGTGCCCAAGAACTAGAAAGCCTTTCAAGTCATCGCCACCATGAATGTGGCGCTATTTGGGGCTGATTTCGGAAACTCTGGGGAGCTAAGACAGTGACGTGTGGGCTGATCTTGGTTCAATAGGCAGCTTGCCTCTGGAGGACACTAGAGAGGTTTCAGCGTCTCCACCGTGACGTTACCGGTGTTTCTGAAGTTCATGTCTAATGGACAAGCTTCCATACTCAACTCTTCCTTTGCCCTTTCAAACAACTCAGTTCCACAATCTACAAGTCAATGTTCCTCCTGACTGGCCTTTCCTGAGAGAAAGAATACTCAGGCTAATCCCTAATTCCTGCCTCTTTCTCTATAAGCCCCCTACTTTTTTCTCTAATGCTGGGAATCAATGGGGGGCCTGGTGCTAGCTAGCTGAGTGCTCTACCACAGAATTGACTCCAAAGCCCTAGGTTGGCCCTTTTGTCGGCTATGATTTTTTAAGGTCTCTTTCTGATTTTGATTTTTTACGTGTATGGGTATTTTACCTACATGTATGTCAGTGCAGCACGTGCATGCAGTTCCCTTGGAGGACAGAGGAGGGCATCAGAACTCCTGGAACTAGAGTTAGAAATGATTGAGAGCAGCCAAGTGGGTGCTGGCAATTGAACCCAGGTGGTTCCAGTGCTCTTAAGCCCTGAGCTATCTCTCCAGCCCCTGGATATGATTTTGACTATGTGGCTGTACATGGATCAGATACAACTGTAAAAAAAAAGTGGAAAAAAAAGAATTTAGCTGATGTGAAGAAACTTTCCAGAAAGTGCTTCAGAATAAGAAAAACGAATGTTCTGACAGTGAAGGACTTTGGCAGCCCTTCCCCGGTAGGGATAGCCTGTGAGTACCATGTGTATTTCATTAACTCTCCTGCAGCAGCCGCAGTTGCCTGATCTGAGCTGGGGGTCTGCTCTCGATGTCCCACAGGGTGAGTGGCTGATTGCTCAGGAGTCCTTGTTGTTTTCAGCACTTCTTAACCATGAGTTGCTGTTTGTTGTTCTCAGAACTGAGAGTTAGCATGAGCACAGAGGAAGCTCCAGGATACACGTTTTTCCTGGAAAAAGAGCCCTAGAATCAGATCTTGGCATACTCAGAACACAATACAGCTCAGGGAAGGGGGTACAGTGAGGCATCTTTGTGCAAGGTTGAGGACAGCAGAGCAGAGAGACAGGGTCCTCCTGACACTGTCCTTATGCTGCTGTCTGCATCTCCATATACACAGTCTGCTTCACTGAGCTCACTATGGTCCTCTCTCAATGGGATACTTTGACTTAGCTGTCAGTGCTGAGCTGCTCCTACAGCTTACGCCAAGCCTAAATGTGCTATTCAGCATTTTGCAAAAGGATTCATCTAACTTATGTAACTCGTGCTTAAAAGACATATAGGAAGGCCCATCTGATTTTGTTCCCAATGCAGACTTTTATGTATGAAGATCTGCAGAGTCACCTCCTGAGCATCTAGGCTGCTCCATAGTTATGTGTCTCAGTAGGGATTAATAAACCTTTATTTATCGTGAACTCATCAGTATATAACTATGATGGGAATGCTGGGTCTCCCCAAGGGACATCCAGTTTCCAAAAAGACCCATTTATTTCCCCTTCAGATACAATTACAGGGATCTGCTCAGAGAAGTTTGTTGAAGGAGATTCATAGAATTGCACCAAGCTCACATGTTACCACTAAGCAGGACTCCTCCAAGCCTTGAAAACAACAGTGTGTATGCACGTGCGTGCGCGCATGCGTGTACACACAATTAACTTTGCACTAATTGGTGAGCCATTTCTGAAGGGAAGCCAAGAGGAGCTTTTCATACAGAGGGCAGGCAGGTAAGTGGAATCACCCCCACGATGTAACTCCACCCCCCCAAATACTTGGGCCAGTCTACTTCTGCCTTTCATAGAGGCTAAATTGGCTCAAATCACATTGTTGTGATTTCTTTGTAGTTCCCTTTACATTAAGGAGGAAAATTTTCCTTAGCCATATTACTAGAAGACTACTCAATGTCAACACTTTTAAGTTTTCACTTTTTAAAACCAAAAATTAGTTCTGCAAGAAAATATATCAACTTTCTCCACTAGCAAACCCTTCCTCCCTCTCGGAGAGCCTCGGTGTGTCATAAGCTATGAAAAGTCCGCCTTAGCAGGAATCTTTTACATGTTGTTTTATTTGAGTACGCTTTCTCCAACCTGTTAGATGGTGTGCTCTCTCTCTCCAGCAACCAGCTCCTCCAGCTACAGCATTAGTGATCTACAGACCATACCTCAGGAATGGCCCTCTCTTGTCATGTTCCATATTGATTGCTGTTTTCATTTGAACCCCTGCAGAACTCCATTTCCTTATTCACAGGCATGTCCTGGGGCACCTTGCTGCTGTGCCTTGTGCCACCGAGCTTATTGGGGCTTCTACTATTATGTTAAATGAATGTCAAAACTGAATCTGTATTGCCACATGTTGAGTCCTTTAGCATAAGCAAGGAAGCCTTATTCCTGTGGACTCCTTCCTAAATGCATTTGCTAAAGGACATTTTAAAAAGGCACATTAAATTCTATGGAGACTGCGGCAAACAAGCAAGAGATGGTGATTTCAGTATGTGCAGCAAGCAGCTAGGGGAGAGGTTGGGAAAGCCGTGACGTATAGCATTTCTGCTCAGAGGCAGAGAAGGGACATGAGTGACTCCCTAAAGCTATAGTTAAAACATAGATTCTAAATAGTCTGTCCAATGACTCCCAAATTAAAATCGGCCTGGCCCCTGGATGCAGCTAGTAATTAACTTGTAATTTTATACAGAAGCAGATCTGGCTTCTGACCCTTGACTCTATTTAGTTCTCTCCTGGCATTTCAAATGCATGGTGTGCTCAATAAGGTTGTTAAAATTAGTATTACAGGGAGAGAAGTAATCGAGGTAAATATGCATATGGAAATTATAGCCAGAGGGGTGCTTCGTAAAGAAGCTGTCTCCATGAACTCAGATTTGACTAATTGCTACTGTATCCTATTCAAAATTACAAATCAGACTGTTAGCAAATGGAATTCTGAAAGCTCTATAGGACCTAAACAATTATTGTCTAGAGCCACCAACTATTACAGCGGAAAGAGGATTTACAGAGTTATCTGTCACTACTGTCCTCTTACTTGACTACTGGGGAAACTGAGGGAGCCTCTTGTCATTGCCTCTTGTCATTCTAATAGCCAGAAAGGTTCTAATTTAGCTAGCTGAAGAGAGGGGTTGAAATGGGAAACTTTCATTGTTGTTAGTTTTTTTTTTTTTAAGAAAACATTCTCAAGTTGAACTTTAATCTGTTCTTTACTCTTGAAAATTGGAGGGAGAATACAATTTCATGTGTAAATGATAAGAGTGTGTAGAGGCCAGATGGAGACAAGAATGCCTGTCAGCAGCATAAGAATGTGGTACTTAAACCAATTTTTATTTGATATGGTGTATTAGCTTATTGTTACTGTGATAAAATACCCGATCTATTAACTTACCAAGAGAAAATGTTTATTTAACTCACAGACTAAAGCTTCTAGTCTAGAATGAGAGGACCAGATGATAACAACAGAATGATGTCAGGCCTGCACACCTTAGCTTTTCTATCGGTTTGATATAAGCAGATAGAAGGTAGCACCTCAACCGAGAAAATACTTCCCTCAGATGGGCCGGTGCAGGCTGTGGTGCATTTCCTTGATTAGTCATTGCTGTGGGAGGGCCCAGCCGCTGTGGGTGTTGCCAATCCTGGGCAGGTGGTCCTGGGTTGTAAAAATACCTTAAGCTGAGCAAGTCAGGGAAAACAAGCCAGTAAGCAGCCTTCTTCCATGGTGGTTTCTGCTTCAGTTCCCATCTCCTACCTTGTGTTCCTACCCTGATTTCCTTCAGTGATGAACTATGAACTGGAAGTGTAATCGAGATAACATGCCCCGCCTCCTCTCCCCACACAATGGTTGCTTTGGCCCTGGTCTTTCTCAGAGCAATAGAAAACAAACTAGGGAAAGGCAAAGGGCCTGAAGTCCCTGCGAGGACACACCCTCTACTACCTAAGATCCTCACATTAGGTACCACCCTTTATAGGTCCACAGTGTCTTCTAATACCCCAGCCTCTGGACCACTCTGTACATATATATAGCCCAATCGGGTGTGCATAGAATGCACACTTAGGTGGCTAGGGCTGCCTCCACAAATCTTCATGGCCTGAACAATTGCAGCAGAAGCCAGGATGCAGGTACTGTAGTGTCTGGTATCCGGTGAAATATCTCTTCTTGGATTGTAAATATCAATCATTGAACTATTTCTTCATATACCATGTAAGAGTGCATGCACATGCACGTATATGCACAGACACAAACACATAACACACACACGCACGCACACACAGAGTGAGAGACAGAGAGACAGAAACGAGAAGCAGGCTAGTTTTATCAGGAGCACCATTACTTTGTGGGTTTGAGATTCAACCTATGAAGTTGGGGGGCACACAGCTCAGTCCATAACATCACGTACAGCATCAGAGGAGGAGCTGAGGGTTCAGGTTGGAGAACCTGCGTGCTGTGGATGGAAATGGTTTCTCTTTTTGTCCCCAAATTTGTACCCAACTGTAGCCTCTGACCTAACATTTTAATGCCTTCTCTGGTGCCTGTGAACCCTACAGTTACCAAGGGAGGACTGTAAATTCCCCTGACGTTTGCAGGAGATTCTCTGCACCCAGTGTTTGCAGCTGAATGAACTGTGCCCACAGGCCCTCACCTAAGAAGCTTCCCCCCCCCCACCTCACAGCCTGGGAAAATATTCAGGAGAATGGATTTTATTCCTTTGTAGGAGTCAGGACAAAATTTGCATACCATAGTCCTGCAGCTTCATCCTGCTCTAGTGCAGCCATCATGTGACCTTGCATGTCATGTGGTGTTCCCAGGGTGGAGGGTATAACATACTGCCAGTCTCAGCGGTCAGTATTGGATGTCATTAGGGTAGGAGATCCCTCTGCCAATAGTGGGACTGTGAACTAAGAAACACTTCAGTCAATAAGACCCCACCTTCATGGAGTGTTGGATTGTTCTAGTTCCTCTGTTCTGTCCTACAGGAGTGTCTCTCTCTCCCTCACATCTCACAAGGGGCTTTCCAATGTGTTCATATGCCTCTTTCTACATGAGAGCCCAGCTAAACACACTTTCCCCCATCTACTGGCATTTTCAGAGATGTTTTATCTGCCGTATTGATTGGCACTCTGGGAAGCTTGCCTTAATAGTATGTGTGTGTGTGTGTGTGTGTGTGTGTGTGTGTGTGTGTGTGTGTGTAAAGAAAAGAAGCTGGATATTAGAAAACCCGAATCAGCAGCCAGACTATTGTAATCCACCGACTAATACATTGAGGATAAGGGATGAAGGCAAGTCTCAAACAGACGGTAGCTCTAAACCATGGATATAAAGTTGGCATTATGTAAGATCCACTTCTGAATCGACCTGAATTTTATACTTCTGTTTCAAAAACAATACTACTTAAAAATATCTACTTCCAAGCTGCCTTCTCCTCTATAAATAATCTTGGCTTTCAAAAGACGGGCAGATGTCAGGGGTGTATACATATATTAGCTTCAGGGGTGACCTTGGAAAGTGCCCCACAATTCAGTAGAAGCAATGCTACACATATCTGCCATTGAGTCTAAAAGCTCAATAGACGGAAAACCATACCTGCTAAGAATCATAGTAGGAAACAATATTTTTAGAAAAATTGAAACTAAGCAAATGTTAAAACAACATACGGTGTCTCCCTTCCCCCATCCTGTCTTTTCCATCCTTGTCTTAAATTTTATTGGAAAAATACATGAAAGTAACATTGTAAATTACACTCAGCTTGATTTGAAGACTACTACACACAAAGTATATTTTATAAGATCTCAAGAAGACATACAGGTCATGCTTATGTTCTCTTTTCCCCCTCTTAGCTCATGTGATTTCAGGAAAGGAGTCCTGTGTGGTGATCTATTGTTAAAGATCTAATAAAGCTTGCCTGAAGACCAGAACACAAAGCTAGCCACAGCTAAAGAGAAAGTATAACAATAGCTTATCAGTCTATAAAGTTTATAATGAATTACTATGTTTTTAAAAGATTTATTTATTATATATAGTGTTCTGCCTGCACATCAGAAGAGGGCACCAGATCTCATTATAGATGGTTGTGAGCCACCATGTGGTTGCTGGGAATTGAACTCACAACCACTGCAAGAGCAGCCAATGCTCTTAACGTCTGAGCCATCTCTCTAGCCCCCTTGAATTAGTCTTATATGCCCCTGGAGGGTGATTTCAAGACTAGAAGGATGTGCACATGTTCATTCCATCTGTTCCCCCTCCCTCTCTCTCCTCTTTCTTTCTTTCTTTCTTTCTTTCTTTCTTTCTTTCTTTCTTTCTTTCTTTCTTTCTTTCTCTTCCTTGCTTTCTTCTCTTTCAAGCCCTCTTTCCCCTCTAAGTGGTTCCCTCTCATCTACTCTCACGCCATGCGCATTTCATTCCCTTCACATATTTTATATGAAAAGATTATTGCAGTCTTATATAATGCAGAAATGGGATTTGGGGATCCTCAGGGAACAGGGAACCAGTCCTCCAAGGATTCCAGGGATTACTGTAATAACAGAACAGGAGGGGAAGGCAATGGGAAGTCTGTCCCTGTCTCAGTCACCAGGTGACAGGATGGCCCAGGATGGGGCAGTTGCCAATGTGCTGTCTGTTTTGTTGAAAGGTAGGGTGCAGGTTAAAAACAGAATCGAGTTCATGGGAAAGTTTGTAAAACAAGCACTCATCATTTGGAGACTATATATTGCCTGTTAGTGATCTCTGTTAA